ATATATATATATATATATATATATATATATATATATATATATATATATATATATATATATATATATATATATATATAGGTATATGTCTATACAGGGTGGGGCAAAAGTATCGGACCGGTGAAATATCTCGAAAAGTATAAGTTTTACAAAAAACTGTTTCAGATCTTAAAAATATTGCGGAACTAAATATTCATTACATATATATATATATATATGTAAAAATCGATTTTTATTTATTTCGTGAATAAATATCAATGTATCACTTACACTTATACGTCTTATTACTGCGGATGACCATATTTCACTTGACCCTTTATATCTTGGGAAATATTGACTTTTGGGTGCAATGATAACTTTTTATCAACATGGCGGAAACTATAACATAGTGAAATTTCAACCAATTTGACCGAAAACCATTTTCCATAGGTTTTGTACGGGGTCCTTTCCGACTGCATCCTTTTTTCCTCTCGTTCCCCACGTCGAATTAAAGATCCCGTCTACGAGGGCATCTTATCGCGAACGCTTCCGCGGGATACATCGACAGGCGAGACTGCAGCTCCCATCCCTCCGTGAAGTGTTTCCTGAAAAGCCAAAGCGTGCATCCCCCGCAGCAGATTCACCCTCCTATTTAAGAATTCCAACGAGTTAACGTACTTTCCTCCCGCGGTCTCCTCGATCTTCCCCGACAGGGAAGCGCACACACGCTCTTGCGCACCGACGCACCCCTTCGACCACGGAATACGGTCGCATTCGTAGCTAACAGCTGACGAAGATGAGCGCAATGCCGCGTGAAATTGCCGTCGGTCCCCTCCAAGTACAAAACAAACAGACAGACCATCGCGTTTGCATCCGCATTCGCGACCGACCGCGCCGCCGTCGTCCTCGTCGCCGTGATCGTCGGGTATCGCGCGCACGTCGTTGTGCAGACCGTGTGTACGTGCACGTGCACCTAACTCGGCGGCGAGGTGGTAATGGGGTCCGCAATTCGATCTATACGGACCGATACGCGCGCACATTCGCTTGCGTACAGAAATGCGCGAATTGCACAGTCGATCGCGCACGTAAAAATTTCGTTTCTCTCTCTCTCTCTCTCTCTCTCTCTCTCTTTCTCTCTTCCCAGCCCGGCGGTAGTGGTGGCGCGCGATATCTGGCTCCATGTGTACGTTTGACCTCTCCCGAGAGCGCGCTTCTCTCCGGGAGGATAGAGAGAGAGAGAGAGAGAGAGAGAGAGAGAGAGAGAGAGAGGGAGGGAGGGAGAGGGTGCGCCACGCGCGAGTTAAGCCCGCTCGATCCGAAAGAATTAAATGACGCTTCGCGGCTCGCTTCCCCTGCCTCTTTATACGCGACGACCGGGGCTTCCTGGCGCGAGTTGTATATCCCGGAAACGCGAAATTCGATTTTGCGAGAAAAAGAGGAAAAAGCGAGGAGAAGCGGGGAAAAAGGGAAAAATAGAGAAATAGAATCGATCGAGAGTAGCACAGCAGCAGCAACAACGTGCGATTCAACTCGTCTCGGCGCAGCGCGGCACACTTTTCCGCCGTCGCTTTTCTTCGTGCGATCCTCCTTGCCCGGAAGGAAGAGCGACTTCGGGCCGAATAATAGCGTCTCAGCTGGAATATTTCCAAGAGGGATGCTCGCTCTATTGATTTTTATTTCGCTTTTGCCGCTGCCGCGCGAGCTTCGTGAATACCTTCTTCTTCTTCTTCTATCAGTGCAGTAAACACCAATCAACAGCACACGAGAAAGAAAGATATAGATGCATGTAACCAGAAATATTCAATTGTGAGCAGCATAGTTGCATCATTCTAGTTGTGCGATGATAGGGTGAACGCGGAAAAAGCAGAGAGTGTGGCAGACCCACGCAGAACCTCTGGTTGCGCCAACTTACCTTCAATATTGAAACGATATTGATTCAATACTGAAACTGATTGCCACAAACAGATTTACGTGCGGGCCAACCATATTGTCTTTTTTTGTTTATATTGCGTCGATATCCTACTCAACAATGCAGGTGCAATACGACACGTGTTGTATGTAACAGTTACACTATTGATTTGGGAGTTGCAAAATTGATGTAGCGTTGCCGTTAATTGGCGCTCACTCGGGGAGTATCCGTAGCGTATCGGGACGACATGAAATCTTCATCAGGACGTCGCGATCCGATCGGAGAAATCGTTGGCTGGCACGCGGGATAATTATCCTTTCCCTCAACCGCGACGCGGAAATGAGGCGCGACTTTATCGCGCCTTCAACCCCTGAGCGGTCGCGTCTCTGTCCGCGGATGGAATGCGAGTCGACGCATCGCGTGTACCCGTCGCGAAATTAGACAACCCTTTGGGAAACCGGTTCCCCCTATCGCTCGCAACCTTCCAGAACCCCGATGGAGGAGCTTTGGGGAGAGTCTCGTCGAGCGCAAAATTACAAGCTACGGCGGGAGATTCGCTCATGTCCTGGATTTTGGGGCGCGGGAAAAGGAGAGAGAGAAAGAGAGATACATAGTTAAAGGGAAGCAGAGAGAGAGAGAGAGAGAGAGACAAGGAGGGAGCGGAAAGGGAAAAGAAAAGGCCGGTAAACGTGTATATCACCCACGCGTCTACTGTAGGGTGAAAGACCGCAAGCCTCGCGGGAGTTCACGCCGCGAGGAATATTTGTTTCGTGTGCACTCATGTGCTCTCTCTCTCTCTCTCTCTCTCTCTCTCTCTCTCTCTCTTTCTCTCTCTTTCTCTCGACGAGAATAATCGCGAATCGAGAAATGGTGAAAGCCCGGCCGCCCTCGTGGACGATAACAACCGCAGAAACGAGTCAGAAACAAATAGGCGGGCACGTGAATCCAGTGAGGTGAGCATCGGATTCGTATTCTTTTCGTTTCGATTAGATAATAGCAGGTACTTGCTGCACATCACACACACGCATATACATGCATGCCGTGCTTGATTCGATAACGAGTGTACTCCGGCTCCGCGTATCGAGCGCGTGCAATGATGATGATGATGATGATGATGATGATGATGATGATGGTAATGATCGCGACGATGACGAGGACGGTGATTCCTCTCGTGACCGTCTGTTCCGCGAGTTCCGTCGAGTTCGAGGGTCTCAGCCGCCAAACGGACGCCAATTGAATGCGATTGTATTTAGCCAGGAGACGTTGCTATTTTTAGCTAATAAACAGAAGCCAAAAAAGTGCAGCTCTATACTTAGCCGGTGAGTTGGTTCGCGTTGCGCGATCGTTTTCCTCGAGTTCGAGGATCGTCCTTGGGTCGTTGGCGCCGCTCCAGCATGTACGCCGGTCCTCGGAGCAGCAGCATCCCCCGGTTTAAAGACGAAGGGATCCACCGAGCGACTGAAAGAATCGGATTCCACCTCACCCCGGAGCCCCTCAGCCCACATCTAGCTGATTTAGCTGTACAAGCACCGTTACAAAAATAGATAGAGATGTATAAAGAGAGAGAGAGAGAGAGAGAGAGAGAGAGAGAGAGAGAGAGAGAGAGAGAGAGAGAGAGAGAGAGAGAGAGAGAGAGA